TAATATATATTTATAATGATGATTGACAAAAGAATTCTGAATGGCGTCTCCCTTCAGGTACCACTGAACACTAGACTTAGATTGCTCTCCTTTATTGTGATAAGATCGGGAACGTGTTGAGCAGTGAACGATTTGCTCATTCTGTACGGCAGACATCGTGGATGTAAGGCACTGAACGCACTCGGGAACGGTTTAATCCCGGCCTTGTAAAATCTCCTAAAACTGAACTCCAAGTTAATATTGTTAACACCATTTAATCAAGTTCTGTTGTAATAACAAAAGGCTAACCTCTGGGCAGATATAAAAGACACCATTAATACAGACCTGCAATCCTTAATACATCATTAAATGTGTTTTCATTTAGGGCTGTGGAAATTAAAGATTAATTTCTCGATTTAATCGTTAAACTTTTCGATCGATTAAAATTATTTTGATCGCTAATGAAAACACTCACCTCTCCGTCTGCTTCCGGGAGTCCCGTCGGCGATCGGTGACGTCACGGACATCGAGGTCACCGGACTCCTCCCCCCTTCCCCAAGTGGCTCCGTCGGCTAACGAAGGGAAGAGGGGAGGAGTCCGGGTGACGTCGATGTCCGTGACATCACCGGACTCCTCCCCCCCTTCGTTAGCAGACAGAGCCACTTGTAAGTACCTGGATTTGACCTGGTATCGGCCTCTTGCAGCCTCTGTTCAGCAGGGATAGCTATGTGTGAGAGCAGCATAAAGCACTGGTTAGCTTGTGCAGGATCATGCTGATAGGAGGTGAGATGATGTGCTCTTTCTTCTATACTGTCCAGTCATGGGGTGGGGGTGGATCAATGACAGCCCAGCTTAGAGGAAGTGGGTTGAATGATATTGGCTGTCATTCATTATGGAAGACTAAGGACATCAAGTGGCAGAAAAGAAGTACTGCATGACATCTTTGCATTGAAGATGAGTGTTACAGCAAAAGCTGCTCTCTTTCCTTTTGTTCTTCTTTTATGGGCTATTTTTTTACTTTTGATTGCCGCATAGATTCCTGTAGGCTTTAGAAGATGTTCCACCTTTCAGCTAAAATGACTCTTTAAAGATAAACTTCACCCATATCTTTGTCATCACTAAACATTTGTAAAGGTGCCTTTTGCTGTCATTTCAATCTACAAACAGATACTTATAGGTAGGGACAGACTCTTTGATCTTTTGTATTCTGTATTTTTCCATTCTTCTCAGTGGCCATTTTCACTAATGGCAGATTAATATATATTCCTTTACTTCCTGGAACATGTGACTAGGACATCATCTCAGGGAAGTAAAATGCCTTTCCCTGAGAACTCGTGAGATTACAGATGAGATTTTCCAGCAATGCACTGCTGATGTAACCTTCCCAGGATGCAACACTTGGGCACATGACATCACTAATGCCCAAGAGCACCAGGGAGTAGAAAAACAATAATTGTACGTAAAAGAAAAATATGTTTAACGAATGAATGTAAGATGATTTCATATCAGCATGCTGATGTGATTTTTAGTGAAAGGGGGTAAAGGTCTGCTTTAATGGCCACAATTTGACTCTAGCATGCAGTACATGATTACTTTCATGGTAGAGAAAGACTAACAAAATCTTTCTGGAACATTTGTCTTGAATCCTCTGGATGCCATTTTATAAAGTGCAATTTTCCTTTCTTTTGCAGACATGCCATCGTCTGGTGATGATGAGGATGATGATGAGGAATCGGAGGAAAGGGGTAAGTGTTTTTAATGGAATATATGGTTTAACATGCGTATAGCTTTTTATAATACTGTTTTAGTTTTTTTTTTTCATTAAGAACTGGTCATGTCTCCAAACATGCACTCTAAGTGACACCCCTTACAAGCCATAAAATACCAGATAGGAAATTGCTATGCTCCTTGGTTACAACTAGTGGCCTTAATGCGCCGTGATCGAAAACCCTGATGTTTGCTCTGCAAACGCTTTATAAATACTCCTGTAGTGTGAATGGCCCATAATTGTTTCCTTGTGTTCGGACAATCCAATCCTCTTCCAGTCACATAATGTCTTGTTTTTTTTTTTTTTTTTTTAAATACAATATATTTTGTGAATGGAGGATAGCGAAGAGGGGCAGGTGATGCGCTTCTCTCTCTTCCGTGCCCTAAAGCTGGGTGTTCTGTGCGGGGGACACTAACAAAAACATAAGATTTTTTTATTTTTTTAACTGCACATAACACCCAACTTTGTAATCATTTACATACTGCATTGGGTATGTATATTATCATTCTGCCCAGGGTGTGGCTTTCAAGCACTGGAGATTGGCCAACACATAATGGGGGGTTAGTTGCGGGTGTTTTATATGTTTAAGTTTAGTTTTTCTTTTCTGGTAACTGGTTTTTCTGGGTGAGGTAACAAAAGTGGCATAAAATTGCTGTGAAAGCTTCTCTTGGATGGATACAAGCAGGAAAAAACTTGCCAACTCTTGCAGTTCCCATGCAAATATTTTTGATATAATGTTTCATTTGTGTATGCGGGAATCTTCTCACTGACGCACTGGTTTTTTATGGGGGGGGGTTCTGGGCTATTGGCTATGGATTATGGTTAATTCCCATAATGGTTTTCAGCCACCAATATTAGTGTCAAGGCATAATGGAGACTAAGGGATTTTTCTTTGGCCATGGTCATGTGTATATTGTTATGTCTTTAAAGATGAAAAGTGATTGATTGTATAACAAATGCTCCCTAAGTTATGTGTGAACCAATCACTTTAATTACACTTTTATTCAAGGAATTATATTTGTAGTAGATTTCCTAGGCCAAATAACTGGTCCTCCTAAAGGTACACTCCAGTCGTACATGAAAAAGAATGCATTTCAAATGCCTTAAGGAACACAACCTTCTTCCCATTTTTCATCCTGCCATTCATCTCTTGCTCCGGATAGCCCTGCATCCTAATTTCCTGTAGTTTCCAATATCTTTATCTTCTGGTTGACCCTAAATATTATTGGGTTCCATCACCTCCCTCAGATCACTCCAGCCGCACACACATTGGCAGAGGTTGCACAGAATGATCTAGCAGGAGGCTGCAGTCCTGCCCGAGTGTCTGCAGTGAATTTTTATGGAACAAGATGGACTTGGTTGCTCTTGAAAGTGGAATTCCATTCTTTGTTTTCGGATAAATCGTGCACTAATTGTAACCCTATTTCATGTTGTTCTTGCTAACTTTGTCCCTCTTTTTGAGATTTTCCCTTATTTTGTATCCCAGTCACCTCAATGAAAATGAGGGGTAATCTCTCCTATAGGTGAACATACAGAAGTTTAAATCTGATAGAGGCTTTAACAGTTTCTGTGCTTTTAGGGCTGTTGTTCTCACTTCCTGTCTCCATGAGCTACACAGGAGGTGAGGGGAAATCTCCCCAAAAGACAACAATTTAAAATAAATAAACAGTTGGACATTCTAAGTCTTATGGCAAGCTAGTGACTCTGTTGCTACAGGCCAGTTGCCTGGTTCTAGCTAGTATTCCTGTCCCTGTAAGCAACTTGTGTAGTTCTACCTAGTGATCTTTTTGCTGTAGGCCATAAACCTGGTCCTGACTACTGACCCTGTCGTAGGCCATTCACCTGCTTCTGGCTAGTGATCTTATCTCTGTTCTAGCTGGTGATCTTGTCACTGTAGGCCACTCCTCTGGTTCTGGCTAGTGATCTTGTCCTTGTAGGCAACTCGACCTGGTTCTGGGTAGTGATCCTGTCACCGTGGGCCACTTGCTTGTTTCTGGTTAGTGATCCGTTGCTGTAGGCCTCTCGCCTGGTTCTGGCAGCTGTTCTCCCTAGCTTGCTGGCCAAAATGCCAAAGTATCTACCTCTGCAGCAAGTGGGCCATGGGAGATGCCAACGGCATGGTTGGCCAGTGATATAGAGACACGATAGAGGCTGAGTGTTTTATTTGTCTTCCTAGTGAGATTTCCCCAGCAACAGGATCACTAGTGTAACATGGGCCTAGGTTTACTCCACTGTATACAAAATGGGCGAAAATGTTTCGGCTGGAGTTCTGCTTTAATATTAGAAATTTGCAATGTTGACTGGTTGGCCCACTTTAAGTTATTCTAGCTGTAACAGTGAGAACGTACAGCTCCCATTCCTCACTCCTACATAACTTTCCTAGGAAAACAGTGTGAGACACGTATTTCTTTCGTAGTAACCTTTATTCCATCGCGTCTCCTATATGGGGCGAGTCGGCCAGCCGTTGTGGCTTGGACGATGCCAGCTCTTGCCATCAGCGATGGCGTGTGGTTTTTGAGGAACCTGTCATTTGCTCTGATCCCCCTTGGTCTGACACAATGGAACAGTCTCTCCAGCACTAACCAGAGGAATTCCGTGGGCTGCCTCGTACACTGCTCTCTCTTTTCTTGCTGGGATTGCTTTCTGACCGAATTCTACCTGTAATGTAAAACAGGCCCCTCGCAGGAAGGTGAAATATTGTCACAGATCAGCACTTTTGGTCATTGCTAGTTTTTCTTCAGCTCCCCAACACTGAAAGTATGTTTAAATATTGGTATTTTTGGAACGTTTTGTCTAGTAATTTGGCAGCAGGAACTCATGGCACATGCGGAAAGGTATTGAGAGTATATTGCCTGTTCTGAATTGGCAGAATACATGGTCAGCACATATTGTCTGATTCAAATAGACAAGAGAGAGGGAGGGAGAGCGTGTTGTTAATGCGCATGTCCACCCAAAACTGATGGTAATTCTTTTTTTTTTTAAAGATAATGCAGAGCTCATCTAGGGGTCAAGTCTAAATCCTTATTGAACCCAGTTGGCCAGTGCCCCTATGTATCCTGTGCAGGAGCCCTCTATAAAAAAAACTGGTCACTGCTGCTCTCTCCTTGTGCAGAGTAACTGGTCTTGTATCCGCCCCCTCCTGTAGTTTCTTGTAGGCAGCCTTTAGAGGGTGTGTCTTTTGGGACCCTCCCACAGCTCTGTGCAGGCTATCTACAGCACAATGATGATGATGATGATGTCACTGCTGTCTTACAAGGCAATATGTGAGTTTGTAAAGGCAGTTGGTGCATGCAAAATTGATTTATGTCCTTTGTGACTATTGTGGAATATATTTAGCCTGGAGTTCAGCTTTAAATCTGAAATCTAGAAATCTGTGCAAATAGTGTCTTTTAATGCAAGGTCCCACTGGAGAGCACCTAAATCTGGTTTCAACTCCCTCAGTTGCTGTGTTCTTGATGGGTTAATGATGAACTCTAGTACATTCATATCTGTGTTTAGATCTGAGCAGTGAAAAAGACTCATCAGCGGCAAGGAGCTATTATTGCTTCAGTAGCTTCTGAAAGAATTTAATGTCTTGAGGGGACCGTATACAAACGTGCCTCTGGCCATATTCTCAAGCTGCAATCATGACAATGGTTTGGCATAGGAGTGGACTTCTTTAATGTCGGGAATTAAGAATTAGATGGAGTTTCTGCCACCTTAGCAGCAGATGGCGTGTGGTTTTTGAGGAACCTGTCATTTGCTCTGATCCCCCTTGGTCTGACACAATGGAACAGTCTCTCCAGCACTAACCAGAGGAATTCCGTGGGCTGCCTCGTACACTGCTCTCTCTTTTCTTGCTGGGATTGCTTTCTGACCGAATTCTACCTGTAATGTAAAACAGGCCCCTCGCAGGAAGGTGAAATATTGTCACAGATCAGCACTTTTGGTCATTGCTAGTTTTTCTTCAGCTCCCCAACACTGAAAGTATGTTTAAATATTGGTATTTTTGGAACGTTTTGTCTAGTAATTTGGCAGCAGGAACTCATGGCACATGCGGAAAGGTATTGAGAGTATATTGCCTGTTCTGAATTGGCAGAATACATGGTCAGCACATATTGTCTGATTCAAATAGACAAGAGAGAGGGAGGGAGAGCGTGTTGTTAATGCGCACGTCCACCCAAAACTGATGGTAATTCTTTTTTTTTTTAAAGATAATGCAGAGCTCATCTAGGGGTCAAGTCTAAATCCTTATTGAACCCAGTTGGCCAGTGCCCCTATGTATCCTGTGCAGGAGCCCTCTATAAAAAAAACTGGTCACTGCTGCTCTCTCCTTGTGCAGAGTAACTGGTCTTGTATCCGCCCCCTCCTGTAGTTTCTTGTAGGCAGCCTTTAGAGGGTGTGTCTTTTGGGACCCTCCCACAGCTCTGTGCAGGCTATCTACAGCACAATGATGATGATGATGATGTCACTGCTGTCTTACAAGGCAATATGTGAGTTTGTAAAGGCAGTTGGTGCATGCAAAATTGATTTATGTCCTTTGTGACTATTGTGGAATATATTTAGCCTGGAGTTCAGCTTTAAATCTGAAATCTAGAAATCTGTGCAAATAGTGTCTTTTAATGCAAGGTCCCACTGGAGAGCACCTAAATCTGGTTTCAACTCCCTCAGTTGCTGTGTTCTTGATGGGTTAATGATGAACTCTAGTACATTCATATCTGTGTTTAGATCTGAGCAGTGAAAAAGACTCATCAGCGGCAAGGAGCTATTATTGCTTCAGTAGCTTCTGAAAGAATTTAATGTCTTGAGGGGACCGTATACAAACGTGCCTCTGGCCATATTCTCAAGCTGCAATCATGACAATGGTTTGGCATAGGAGTGGACTTCTTTAATGTCGGGAATTAAGAATTAGATGGAGTTTCTGCCACCTTAGCAGCATTTTGGCAGGATTACACACACTACTGAGTACATATTGCCTCTTGGAAGCAAAATGTGCAG